GTCAATGTCGATGATCACCACTAGGGCTCGATATCACCAATATAGTTGACCGACAATTGTCACTTGTCCAAACTCACCCAACTTTTATTGTTCGATCACCGTCACCCGACTTCTAACATTCACCTATCATTATTTCATCATAATCATCTAATTGTCATCGTTCGATTGTCATTGCCTAATCATCATCTCCTAACCACCATCGTCTGTTGTACATCGCTTGACCATTGTCTCTTAATCACTAAGACAACTTTTTGTTTCTATTTTTAATAATCTCTATTACATATAGAAGAGAAAGCTATTATTCATTATTCTCAACTTTGTAATGACCTCTTCTTCAATTGAGAAGAATAACGTATTTTTATAAATCTTATTTATGTAGTAGATCATGATAACGAAAATTAAACAAATTAAGAAATAAAAATGCATATGAATTGAGTTTCAAAAAATACATATTATAATCCAAATCCAATCAAAATCAATGTAAATTATTTCAAAAAAAAAATCAAAATACAACATTTATTTAAGTTTAATTTTATTTAATATTTAGTATCACTTAAATAACTTTTATTATATTTTGATATATGTATTTATGAAAGTTTTATTTTTACTAGTAGATGAAATATTAAAATATAATAATAATAATAATTAATTAATCAATTAAATTCAAAGCTAAAATCAGGGCGACCATCATGAGAAGTCAACAACCGTTCGATTAAAATCAAAGCGCTACGAACGCACAAAATGCAACAGAGCAGAAAAAACCCACCTTATAAGCCCTAACCCGCTCGATTCTTCGACCTCATTCCCCGCGGAGCTTTTGGGTTTGTAGCGTCGCTGAACCGCTGAAGGTGAGATCTCTCGTGCGTTGCCCTCACTTCCTTCTCTCTTGAGGATCATGGAGACGATGCCTGATTGATCTTATTCGAAACTCTAGGTTTTTGTGGAATGTTTTTTGTAATCCTTCATTATAAATTACAGTGATACTCTGACCACTTATTTTAATTAAGATTTGTGTTTGTGATTGTTTTGTGTTAGATCTGGAGTGTTCGGTTGATGCCTGGTGGCTAGGTTTGTGAATTTTAATGTGTAGGCATTTTTTTAAAAATTTGACTTCGAGATTGCTATTATTGTTTTGTGTTTCAACCCTGCTACATTCTGATTAGTACTCGCGGCTTCCTTAATGTTGTTGAAGTTCCATTGAAGTAATATATGATATTGTTGTTTAAAGGAAATGTTTTTGACTAATAGCTTAGTTAGCGAGTTTTCAAGTTAGCTTTGGATGTATGGAAAATTTATTTATCCATGATCACTTATTAGATGTTGTTTGATGATTTGGAGTTGATATCAGGCACAACTTTTATGATATTAGTATTGCAATATTGTTGTAAGGTCAGGATGCCATTGTCCATTATTTTGGTTGAAGTCATTGCTAGATATATTCGTGTTAAAATTAGGGTTGAGATTTTGTTCAAAGATTGAATTGATTTTTGGCTCAGTTTGAGACCAACGATTCAAGCCACGAGCCAAATATTTTGCTCTGATCAATTTTTAGCCTATTTTAAGTTGGTTCTTGAATTGGATTGAGTCAGCTCAAAATTGGGTTGAAATATAATATATATAATATTTTAAAAAATTAAAGAAGGGTAAATAAATGTTTTTGAGTTGACTTGATTCAAATTTGAGCCGGCTTGAAATTGAGCCACTTCAAGCCAAGCTAGCTGGAAATCAGATCAATTTGAACATGAACCAATTTGGAAATGGCTTATATAGGTTCAATTTGATTGCAAGCTAGCATTGGATCGACTCAAAATTAAATCATTTGCACCCCTAATAAGAACCAATGGGTAAAATTACGTTGTTGGATTTATTTTGCAATCTATATGTTGTTTTGTTTTGTTGATATTCTTGTAGTTTGAGAGTTGTTAAATGAGAAATTTGATCTTAATTTGATTAAAAAGGTGGCAACAGACCTTATTAAATGTGTTATTTTTTGGAAATATCCATTTGTTTAACATTTGCCTAATATTGCGTGCCCTTTTTATGGATATTGTTGAAGCTTTAAAGATGTAGTGTTAGAGGCAATTTAAAATGCTAACCCGCAAGGTCTTGTCTTTTTCTAGTTGTAGAATTTTGGTTTTTATCTTATTGATTAATTATGCTTTAGAATATCATTTTCTGATGGAATATTTGTGCTGTTAGGGGAAGAGTTTCATCATCTTAGCATTTATAAAAAAATTTATCTACACATATAAGTTGGGAGAAGCAAGCTTGTAATAGTTACAAAATATTTTAGATGGAAAACTTGTGAATGAAAAAATCATAGGGTCTGGTTCAGTTGATCACTAGTATCATTTCCTGTAATTGGAGAAGATAATAAATAATGCAATGAAGTTAATACAAATTGTGAAAACATCTTTTTTGGGTGACAGGAGTTTTGACGTTTATGAATTATCATAAAGCCATGACCTGTGGTTAGCTTGGCCATTCTTTTGATAGTAGAAAAGTTTGGGTGATCAAGAAGATGTGAACTAGATACTAATCGTTAATTTGTTGGTGTCATTGATAGTCGATGTGGAATGTTAGAAGTTAGCAATGTTAAGTGGTTGGCATGGTTCAGTATTCTTATAAGAGGGGATCAAGTGGTCGAGAAGATGAGCATCAAATGTTAGTGGGCAACAAACATCAAACATTTTTCTTTGGTATGCATTTGGCGATGAGGAATGTTGGAGTTCAGATGTCTTGTCGTCTGTCTAGTTTGTTATCTCTGTAATGTGTGAGATAAGTTAACTAAGAAAAGAAACTTGGAATATTGGTGTCTTACAGATTGTTGATGTCGTACTTTGGTATGCATTTGGCATCAGTTGAGAAGGAACGTAGGAGGTCGTTGCATCAGTAGTTTGGCTCTATTGTTCTCCTTGTAAAAAGGAGATCATAAATTTGAGAAGACTTTGTGTTGGATGTTGGATTTTGCTATTTAGTATTTATAGAATGATGATCTAAGAGGAACATTAGAGGTTTGGTGATGTCAGGCTTGACTTGGTCATTCTTCTTATTAAATTGGAGATTGAATGACCAGTAAGGCTTGTGTTGGATGTAGGTACTTGATGGACATTTGATATTTCTCTTTGTTATGTATTGAATATTTAAGGATTGTTAGAGGTTGAGCAATGATAGGCAAGTTGTCTTAGTCATCCTGCTTATAGGAGGGAATATCGGATGACCAAAAAGGCTAGACTTTCATCATACATTGATGGGTAATGGGCATCACTCTTTGGTACGCATCAGATGATATTCTTTTGCAGGATGTTAGTGGTTGGATGGTTTGACTCACTCATTCTCGAGGAAGGGAGGCAAGATGATTGAAGATTTGTATTGGACATCAATAGTCGATAGATCTTAGATGGACGGTGGGCATCAATATTTGCCAATAGTTGTCTTTTGCCATTGCAATGGTGCATGGCGCATGTTAACATTGATTGGTGAACATCTAGTGAGAGTGATTGTAGGTGTTCAGGTTGGTTGACGATTGATATTGAGTGGTGAAAACTAAAGATTTTGAATTATATGATCAAGTTTTCCTGTCTAGACAGCCATTTTGGCTATAAGCATACAAACTTATAGGAGATTTTGTATAGCATAAGGTTTTGTGAAATTTCAATATGGCTTTTGAGTGTTTGATTTAGACCCTATTGTGCGTAGATCCAAGGATTCTTTGTATAATTAGATTATCTCATAGAACTACACTATGTAGATTATAAGTTGTTGAAAATTGAGTTTAATGTTATCATAATTAGTATTTGGTGATTTTGACCCAAATATTTAGGTGTTTTGGGATTTTAAAATTGTGTCAAACTATGTGTTTGATGAGATAACTTTTTTTAATGATGTATCAAGTATTTTAGACGAAACAAGTTTGAATGTAAGCATTCAAAATGGATTTCCATCCAGGAAGACAAAGTAATGTGTTTCAGCAATCATTCATGTTATTTTTCTCAAACTTAAGTGAAAATTTATAAGATGGTTGTGAGACCTGCCATGCTTTATGGCATAGAATGTTGGCTATTAAAAGCGAAGAGTAAAATCAAGTTAATTGTTGTTGTTATTGTTGTTGTTGTTGTTGTAGAGATGAGGATGCTCAGGTGGATGAATGGCTTTATACTTAGAGACAAAATGCAATACAAGTATATACATGAAAAGGTTGGAGTTGCTCTAGTGGCAAATAAGATTATTAGAGAGTCTCCTTAGATTTTATTTGTCACATAAACGTCGGCCTTCCGATAACCTGGTTAGGAGAGTAGATGTATTAGATCTGACATATGTTAAAAAAGACATGGTTAGAAAGTATTAGAAATGGTTTTTTTAATTAGATTTAAATGAGAATTTGACTCTTAATAGGATATAATGGAAAAAAAAATTTATGTAGCCACCCCATATAGTGGGATAAGGCTTGATGCTATTGTTGTTTCTAGCTTTCCATTGAAAAGAAAAAAAAATCAAATTTTTTTATGCGCTGGAGTATAGAGAATTAAGGAAATGCATTTTTGTAAGATAATAGCATTTATAAAAGCACCGTCTTATCTTGATGTGGTTATTCAGTGTTGAAGGTAAGTTTATAATTAATAAAATTCTAGCCTCAAATGGGTTCAAATTTAAATTGGCGTTGTTTACTTGGCAAATAATGACATTTTTTTAAATCAACAAATTAAATACACAACTCGCATTTTGTGTTAGACTCATCATCTTTCGCATATTTGGAAATACGAGAATTTATTCAGATATGAGGTATGTTAGAAAAGAATAAGGTATTCCCCTAAGAAGTGTAGGTATTTCACTTAGCCTCTGGTGAATTGTTTTTTTTCCTGATTGAAATTTCTTGTAGCCGTGTGAAATGTCTTGATACTGTGTTAAATTCTTTTTTGGGTCAGTGAAAGTCTTGGAGTCTAATGGGGCAGACTATGACTTCAAAATTAATTTGCCATATTATGCCATATCAGTGGCCTTCAAGAAGTTGATGCCATCTTCCATTTTTGCAATTGATGTTGTAAGAAGTTGGCGTAATCTTCCATGCTTACAATTGATGTTGGATCAATTTAAATGAAGATACAATTGGTGAACATAACTACTCTATAAGGTATTATTGTTATTTGAAGATTTAATTTAGAACTTGCAAGACGTGACTTGCAGATTTAGTTAAAAATTTGTAGTGCTTTGATATTAGCTTCTTTTTGAGGCTACATTGTATTTTTCTCACTGAAACCTCTCCACTCCAATGCATAATCATCATTAACATTACTATTACCCCAATTATTTGGGGCTGGCTTAATGAATCATCATTTTTCATGCATTCTTATTAAGTGCTAAGGAGTTAAATCTGCTCTTTGTAAATCATTTTGCACTTCTATTCATGTAATCTTAACTCTATCCCTACTCCTTAAATATCTGACACATTATATTTGCTTGTCTAATGAGTGTATTTTTTCCCTTTATTGTATATTTTCATAATACTTAAATATATATATATTTTTTTAGAAAGTTTGAGTGAAAGTCTAAATTTGATTTTAGAGGGATTTGAATTTAAGGCATTGGCAACAACTTCTAAGGTTTTTACTAGCTAAGCTAGCTTGCACCCTTTATTTTTTCTAATGTAATCATTTCTAAATTAGCATTTGTAATATTGTCACCATATATATATATATTCCAAAAGTGACTAAGGAACATTAGATCATCCATATTGATATTCTCTGATTGTTCTTCCAATTTAGGTTTTGTGCTATTTATTTTTTCCTTATTACTTGTTTCATGTGCAACGAACTATTTAGAGTGGGATGACATATATTCTGTTTCCTTTTCAAATTTTACACCAAACAGCTTTGATGCCTTGTTTTGCAAAAGTGATCTCTATCTTAGCCGATTACCCGTAGAAAAACTTTTTCAGTGAAGTTGAAGCTAATGGAAGCTAATTTCATGATCCAAGCATAAAATTGCTTCGAGAAACTATCTAGTACAACCCTGATGTCCTTTGGAATAATTAACTAATGCTCGATCTTCCCTAAGTTGGCAGAGTCAGTTACTTCAATCTAGTATATATATAATTGAAGTTTCTGTTACCCCTTGATTTGCCTCTTATTAATTTAACGGTCATGCGATGTTTTGTAAGTAGTTTCTTTCTTCTAGCAATAGCTCTATATCTCAGAGCTCCTCTTGACAAGTATGCTAGAAATCTTCTTGATAGGTTTAAAAAAAAACTTTTTATTCGATTATATTTGTCTTGATAATAGTTTTATTATATATTTATATTGTATAATTTATGTATGTTTTAAGTAGAATTTATGTTACTTGAATAGGTTGTGTTCAGTTTGATAAGTTAACCAAACGAACAAAAAATAGAAAATTTTGACCCATATAAATAATTTTAACTTCATTGTATTGAACCATTGGACTGACTAGATTTTTTTTGTATACTTGAGCTCTCGAAAGATTACTCTTAATTGTTTGTGAGATATAGTACCGCCAGACAGGAACCCTTGATTCTCTATTACTTCGGCTTTGTTTGGTTATTCGTTACTTTTATAAAAGGTAGTTTTAAGAAATATCGGTTCAGAAAAAAGGTGTTTTCTAACAGAGAAGTACATATAAAAAGCTTTCTTAAAACAGCAGAAAAATAAAAAAAATGGTGTTATTGTGAAATGTGATTTGACGAACCAAACAGTAAATTTATAGTTTTAAAAAGGAATAAGCACCAAAAATGTCCAATCAAACTAGGCCTTCATCTTATTTTTCCTTTTTGCTCCTTTTTAGTCTCCGCGAAGATGGTGAGAGTCAGTGTTTTGAATGATGCTCTCAAGAGCATGTACAATGCTGAGAAGCGTGGGAAAAGGCAAGTCAAAATCAGACCATCTTCCAAAGTGATCATCAAGTTCCTTCTGGTCATGCAGAAGCATGGTTAGCAACACACAATGCATTACTGTTTTAAACTTTCTTTCATTCATCGCAAGCTGCAAATCTGTGAATCATACTCTCTTGATTGCTGGTTTATAGGCTATATCGGCGAGTTCGAGTATGTCGACGATCATAGATCAGGTAAGATTGTGGTGGAATTGAATGGGCGTTTGAACAAATGTGGTGTCATTAGCCCAAGGTTTGATGTTGGTGTGAAGGATATTGAGCCATGGACTGCAAGATTGCTTCCTTCACGTCAGGTATGTTTCTCCATTTCAGTCTATTATATGCTAATAAGGCTTCGTTTGGGACGGTTTTCTTCTTGCTTTCTAAAACAGCTTTTCAGTATAATTTTTTTTTTTAAATTTGAAATTTTTGTACTAAAAAACCGCTTCATAAAGCCTTATAGTCTTTCTTGTATGTTATAAGTAGGATAAGTTGTATTTGTTCTTCATTGTACAGTTTGGGTATATTGTGCTGACAACATCAGCAGGCATCATGGATCATGAGGAAGCTAGGAGGAAGAATGTAGGAGGCAAAGTTCTTGGATTCTTTTACTAGTCAAAAGTTTTGGAATTGGTGTTTTCTGTCTTGTTATCTTGCAATGATTGTCGGAGACATTCTTAAGAGCATTTACCTATGTTTGCCTGGATTTGTTTTGTAGTTTTTAAAAGCTATCTTGGACCTTTTATCTTTACTGTTTGCTATTTTTTTTCCTAAGAATATTCTCAAATATTATTGTTTTTTATATTTAAAATGTGTTGTTTATTGTTTTTTTTTTTCTTTATAAAAAATAAAGTTATTGTTAAAAATATTTAAAATAAAATTTTTTTAGCCAAAATTATTAATTAAGAGATAAAGGTGATCTATGCGTTTACAATAGTTTTTAGATGTTTTTAATATTTTAAAAATAAATATAACTGTTAATTGTAGCCATTATTTTCCTGTATATTTGCCAATTATTATTTACCACCAATAATGTATGTTATAACCTCTTCATGTTGTTATGACCACATGGGTGATTGTCATAAGCAGGAAAAAAATATTTTAAAAATATTTAACATTTTAATTTATGACAAGTTTTGGAAGAAATTAAAGGAACAAGCAATTTGGAATAAATTTTGATCCATATATTGAAGATATTTTTAGAAATACGCAATTTGAGAACCATATCCATATTAGTGCATCCAATTCTACCAAAATAACATAGCATTTAGGTATGCTTGGAGCAAAATCGTATAGAAAAGCACCTTAATGATCTCTAATTAAACAACCACAATAACCTCTAATATAAGTAACATAACAATCAATTTTAATCTATAATTGATCGATAAAAGGTTTGATCCAATGAAAAATTTTGTTAGTATATCTCATAGTATCATTATAAAAAATAGCATGAAAAAAACCATGAAGCATTACCCCTGAAAGATTTTTGATGTAGCAGTTTAGCAATGAAAAGTTAGTGAATTTTATTCTTAAGATAAACAATAACTCTATCAACATTCATTTTAATACATTTTTTGTTTACGGTTATCTCTCTCCTATCATAAAAAGCCAAAAAACAACCATAGGAATAACAATAAAAAGATGAACTGTAGGTCTACTAGCAAACCAAATAACTAAAATGGATAAAAATTATTATTATTATTATTACTAAATCTCAAATCAAGAGCATTCTCCAGAACATATCAAACTCTGGAGGCAATAAAACCATTAAAAAATATGTTTTATTGTCCCAAGTTGAAATAGCATTGATATTTAGAAGTAATATGAAAACCCTTATATTTTAATTTGTTATCAACGAGAATAAAACATTTGGCAACTCTCTACGTGAATAAAAAAAATATTAATATGAGTTGAAGAATTTCAAATTTTATCAAAAATCTTATTACAATCAAATTTAGATCTAAAGCAATGCCAAGCTCCTTTTAAATAGAAATCTCCATCCATAAAGTATTTGAAAATGGTAAGTTGGACATTTATAAGAATATCACATATAATGTCAACACTCTTTTAAGGAACTTGGTTTGAAATAAGAATTTCACACCACCTCCCATCCTTAATGAAATTAGAAACTTTCAAGGTGGAGATAGATTGAGTATTAAAAAAGGAGTCAAGAGACCCTATACCAATCCAATCATCCTGCAAAAAAAAAAGATGGCCCATTCCCAATTCCTCATTGAAGAGCTATTTACCTTGCTATTTAATGATACATAATCTATTCCATCCAAACGATTGCCCGTTCTTGAAGCTGTAGTGTATAGGGTGATTTTTTTTGCAATATTTCTGATTCATAACGCTAGCTCATAATTAATTATAATTATTAGACCTAAATTTTCACTAAAAGTTAAAGAAAAAATCTTTAATCATATCAGAAATCAATTTGCAACCCAAACCACCCTCATTAAAAGGACCATTTGAAGATTTCTAAGAACAACAATGAATCTTATTATTGCTAGCATAAAGCTCCAATTAAAAGAATTTATTGATGAAATTTTCAAGTCTAGAACAAACTTCTAAAGTAGGATTCATAGTTTCCAACAAGTAAATAAGCATATAACACAAATCACTTTAATCAAAACCAACATAGCTCCCAAAGATAAGAATTTAATTTTCAAGAAGATAAATTTTTTTTTTGAATACTTGCAAATATTTTTATGAAAAAATGAAAGTCCTTTTATGGACTTTATGAAGAGGGATCCCAAGATAATAAAGAGGAAGTAATTGATTTTTAAAACCAGTTATGGATTTGATATTATTCATTTTCTCCATTGGCATACTCTTCCCTACAATGAAGGTGCTCTTACAATTATTAAAATTAAGACCACTTCCATTTTTCAAAAATATTAAGAAGTTTTTTAATTCTCTTGATAATATTAATCAAACCATTACAAAATACAATGATATCATCAGCAAAATAAATATGAGAAATATTTAAGCCACCAAAATTACTAAAGGCCAAGCTTCTAAAAGTAGATAAATAATGCTATAAATCTTTAGAAAAATAGTAAGCATTAATACTATAAAGAACAACAAATAAAGGGTTTCCTTGTCTGACATTCTACCCAGATTTGAAAAAATCGTGAGATTTGCCATTAATAAGAATAGAGAACCAAACATTTTTAACAATCCTTTTGATCAAAGTTGTACTATTATCATCAAAGCCGAAGAGTTGCATTATGTTAAAAATGAATGTCCAATTAATATTATCATAAGATTTAATAATTGTTGAGCTTATACTTGCATGAGATTAATCAATCCAAACCAAACCCAAAATCAAGATCAAATCCAATATCTCAAACCAAAAATTAAGGCTAAAAGCCTATGTCCCATATCGCTTTTTATGTGATTTTTCAATCACCTCAAAACCAAACTAAATAACCTCTGATTCCTGATCAGATAGTTACATATTGATTATGCTTATCTCTGGGATAAACCCTCCAAGTTTGAGGCCAATTTGAGCCCTCTAATACCTAAAACTGAATTTATTTTTAAAGGCTACACAACTTTCAAATATTTATAACTCATACCACTGAACTTTGCACCTAATGGAATTTGACTTTGGGACCTTCCCCAAAACCTTTGAACATGTTCATAATCATCCTTATGATATGTTAAACACAAAACAAAATCCTTGGTGGACCCTAGTTGACCATGGGCCCATAAAACCCTAAATCCCTTAAGGGAAAAAGTCAAAGTTTCTCTTAAACTTCAACATGGCTCATGCATACTAATCATTCAAATATCTTCCAATGCATCCCAAATATCATTTAGGATTTGTTGAACTTAAACCCAAGTCTTGGTCATGCTTAGTTGACCAAGTCAACCTATGTTGATCAAGTGACCTCTTTAGGGTTCAAATGTGCATTTCAAACCAAATGAAATCCCCATGCCATGAGACCACTTTTTTTGGTCTCAAAATATCAATCCAAACCTTTTGGACCTAACTCTAACCCATGGTCAAGCTTGGTTGACCAAATCAATCATATACTTAAACTTAATTCAAATACATTAACCAAGACCTTGCTAAGCCAATTTGGACCTTTAGGATGACCCACTAGGTCACTAAGAACTCCTTCTAGGAAATCCAACCCTTAGGTCCACTTGGGTTAGCCATATGGCTTCACCCAAGTGCCTAAAGAGGTCTCTCCTTGAGTTAAACCCAACACAAGCCAAATCAAATCAACCAATGATTGTATTGGGTCCCCCATGACCCATTGCACCTACCCTAGGTGGCCTAGTGATAAGTGTAAACAATGATAGATTTTATGTGATAATTTGTTAATAAAAATATGTTATTTTAGTTGTGTTTGTGTAGGAAAATATAGGAAAGGGGCAAAATTTTCAAGTATGGTACAGTGTCACGGCGTCAGATATAATACCATAATTGCGCCATCATTAAACACTACTAGATCACCCAAATATGGATATGACTGACACAACCGACTCGATATGACTCGATAACACACATGTTATATCATATCCGATTGTGACAAGACTGACCATAAGATCTGGTTGACAAGTACTAAAACAAAACTCCATATTTATATAATACATAAAGCCATTATTGAATGCAATATAATACATAAGACTACTGAATCTCGACATGATTTTTTTCTATATCATCTAAGATATATATAATCTGAAATCTATCTACAATAGTACTTGGCAATAGAGAGTACAAATCACAAATAAAACCCAAGCTTTGAAAAAATAAAACTAATAAAATATACCTATAATACATATCAGAGCCTATTATCCCAACTACTCAGCTCGCTCCTTACCCTTCCCTGAACCTAAAAATAAAAGCAAAAATAGGAATGAGCTAACACGGTTTAGTAGGATATTATAGCCTAATACAAAGATCAATAATCAAAATCAAAAGGACTGAGATCATTTTATTCAATAATATACCAAAATTTAATATCCTAAAATGAACTAAATTAGAAGGAAACACTTCATAATAGAATCCCACCTCGGTAGCCCATTGGCTCTGGCATAACAATACTTAGTTAACAAAATCTCACCAATATAACAGAATCTTACCTAGGCCGCCCACTGGAGCATAAAAGAATCGCACCTCGGTCACCCATTAGAGCGAGCATAATAGGATCCTACCTCGGCTTCCCACTGGCGTCGACGTAATAGAATCCTACCTCGGTCGTCCATTTGTGCCAGCATAAAAGAATCTCACCTCAGTTATCAACTAGCATCAGCGTAACAGAATCCCACCTGTTGCGGATCAATGGTTGATGATTTTGATGATATCAAATATTCTTATTTCTCTACGACTACCTTATGTACTGACATTTCAGGTTCACACGACTAGACTGCAATTTGGAATCAGCTCAAGATTGAGAATACTAGGTCTGAGCCAGTTTGTACTTTTTCCTTTCTTGAGTCTATTGTATTTGGTGTAACTCCTGATGTTTTGTAACTTAGAAGATTTTCTATTGCTCCCTAAAGATTTCTATTTTTGGTAACATCTTCCGGGACGATCTGTCCAAAAGCAGAAACCCTAATTAGGGCATCCTCATTAAAGCAGCCGTCATTATGCAAAACATATCATCCTGGACAATTTTGTATCGGCCAGGATGATAGGCTTAAAACAGAAAGAATCAGCTGTCATATCTAATTAAAAATAACCTATTTTTGGACATCGTCCAGGTGGATCATCCAGGACTATAAAATATCATCCAGGACGATCCAGGTCAATTTTACCAATTTTTTTCTAAAATTTAAGGAAAG